GTAGTATCTGCATTATTGTAGAGTCTGGTCCAGTAGGATTGCTTCTGAAATGCTCCAAGCTATTGAATGAATTACCTGCAAGCAGGCTATATCTGCCAATTGATTTACCTGAGTTATTGCTTGTTTGAGTATTTCAATAAACTTGTTACTCGAGTAAATGTGTTTTGACAGACTGGTTTGTTGTTTTGAGCTACTGTTCTACCCTGCTGCAGAATTGAGTCACATTTTACATTGAATGGTAGACTGCTTGATAAAACTGGTCCCCTGTTGTTCAGTCTGCAACACAGACTTCACAGCAAACACACTAGAGCTCTCCAGGAACTCCGTGCTTTCTCCTGCCTGTCACTAATAGGAAGCTGGGCAATTGTCAACCCTCAGCTATTTATAGAGAATTGCAACTCGGAGGTAATCAAAGATTAAATCCATCACTGTGGCCAGGACTGACAGACATAAAATCACTCAGGACAACGCAGCATAACTTGAGGTTATCTGGAGGGATGGAGGAAGAATATTCTGACAATCAGTAAATTTTACACCCATTAATTACCACTCAGAAAACACCAGTCCAATGCATACAAATACTTCATCAGTATCATGAATGCTGATAGCAGTACAATACCACATTGAATAATTCATATTTGACCTATTATTGGGGATCCGGGCGCTCCAATTATTTTCACTTACATGGTAACTTCAAAATTATGTTGAAAGTAGCCTCTGTAAGGGGGTTAGTCACTCAGGCCTTAATCTAAGCCAACACTGCAAACCCCTTACAGCTAAAGGCATGCTAACATCAGAAATTATCACCAAAAGTGAGTGTTCACATCATTCTCATGTTGAAAGCATAACAGATAATATGGTCATTATCCCAATGTCTGTGCAAGCTTGCAGTGTGTAAACCAACTAACATTCTCCTACATCACAATAGTGGGCAGACTTCAAATGTGTAGTGCTAAAGGACAAGCCAGAGATGATGAAAGGCTCAATATTGATGAATTCCATGCATGTTTGTTTTTACTTACATACAACTGTAAGCCTCACATAGAACAGTGTGTGCATCACACACTCTTGGCATCTTGGTAATTTAGTGTAATTGTAAAAAGACATTTTGAAGATGGACAGTAACGGAACATCAGTGAGAAGAAAATCCATCTTTGTTGCAATTGACATAACTCTGAATATCTTGATCACATTTTATCTTCATATAATAATACTGACATCAGAGCATCACAGGATTGCACACTCCAACATTATTACCAGCTAATGCAGTTTTCCGGCTCTCAAACTTTTCTAAGCCTTAAAAACGATATCCTACAATGGCTACCCTGACATTGATCCTTTGTCAATCTGCCAGTTCTCAAATAATTCATCTTTAAATCCGTGACTTAATTATTATCAGGAAACTTTTACAGGACTCTTCTACTGCTGATTTTGGAGGGCATGTTATTGACCTCTTGACTTTCACTCCTGGAAACACTGGTGGTGTTTCTGCCATCAAATTATAAAAATCAAAGAATCATAGAATGTTACAACACAGAAAGGAGTCAATTAGCCAATTATGTCTGTGCTGGCTCTCAGCAAGATTAACTCAGCAAGTCCAATTCCCTTGTCTTTACCCTGCAGTGCGGCAAATTTTCTCTTTTCAGGAGCTTATGGACCCCTCTTTTGAAACCCATGATTGACGATGCTTCTAAGCACACTCCCAGGCAGTGAACTCTAAATCCTAAACGTTTGATGTGTGAAAAGGCTTTCCTCATGGAAGTTGGCATAGAATCCCTTCAGTGTGGAAGCAGGTCATATGGCCCAACAAGTCCACGCCAATCCTCCGAAGAGCAACAGACACATTTCCCCTATCCTATTCCTGTAACCCTGCATTTACCATGGCTAATCCACCTAACCTACACAGCCCTGGACACAATAGGCAATTTAGCATGGCAATCCACCTGACGTGCACATCTTTGGACTGTGGGAGGAAACTGGAGCACCCGGCGGAAACGTACGCAGACAAAGGGAGAATGTGCAAACTCCACATAGAGACAGTCGCCTGAGGCTGGAATCGAACCCAGGTCCCTGGTGCTGTGAGGCGGCAGTGCTAACCACTGAGCCACCGTGCTGCACTTTTGTGATGATTGTAAATCAGTGTCCTCTGTTTCATAGTTCTGCTGCTAATAGAACCTTTCTCCCTATTTACTCAATCTGGACCCCTCATGCTCTCAAATTTCCATATCAGATGTCCTCTTAAAGGAGAATGGCCCCAGTCTCTTCAATCTATCCACAACGCATTTTTTTTGTCTCAGGATGAGGTATCATTGGCTGGGACCAGCATTTATTGCCATCTCAGGTTGCCCTGAAGAAAGTGACAGTGAGTTGTTTTCCTGAACTGGTGCAGTCCATGTCACAAAGGGACACCCACAATGCTGTTAGTGCGGGAGTTCCAGGATTTTGACCCAGTAACATTGAACAAATACCGATATGGTTGCAAGTCAGTGCACGTCAGAAGGGAGGGCACAGGCAGTGGTGCTCCTATGTATCTGCTGCCTTAGTCCTTCTAGGTGGTAAAAGTTGCAGCTTTAGCACACTAGTGCATTGCTGCAGAGCACTGCTGCCACTATACGCCAGTCGTCGAGGGAGAGAATGTTTAAGATGGTGGATGGTAGACTGTTTCATATTGGATGGCCCTAAGCTGACTGTTGCTGGAACTTCACTCATCCAGGCAGTATTCTGTCACACTCCTGACTTGTGTTGTGTAGATGTTAGGTTTTGGCAAATCAGGAGGTAAGTTACTGACAATAGAATCCCCAACCACTGACGCGCTCTCGAAGTCACAGTATTTATATAACTAGCCCAGTTCAGTTTCTGGTCAATAGTAACATCCTGGATGTTAATAACAGGCATTAATTAATGGTAATGCCATTGGAAATCAAGTGGAGATGCTTAGATTCTTTGAGGAACCACAGCACTCCATGGATACCCAGCTTTGAGCAGCTAGATGTGTTCTAAGTTCCTCCCCTTTAGCAAGGTGGTAGACATACACACAATGGAGAGTGTCCTCAGTGTCAAGATAGAACCGCGTCCTCACAAGAACATTGTTCCTTCTGCAATAACAAGCTGCAGCTGGACACCATTAACTTGATTAGTTATCCATTCTGCTCCTCCTAATATGTTCTCATGAACTTGTGAGACATGACCTGCTCCCTCTTAAACAGTACTTACGGACTGTACAAAATTCTGACTGCGTTTTGCAAAATGTTGTTCAGACTATGTTTTTTGTCATTTGTCCTCGTCATGAGGATTGCAACATATTTTGAGCTGTATTTAAAACTGTTTTATAAAGTTTGCGTTCTGAAGAGTGAAAACCTCAGTACATTGTTATGTTGAAGGCTAGAGGAGTGCATTCTTGTTCTAGTCCCACTGCTCTGCAGATCACTACTAAATAAAAATGTATTTCCCAGTTGTTAAGATGGCCAATTAATTACCTTAACTATATCAAGTTTAAATGAAAAACAGCTATCAACTAGGTTTATTCAATAAATCCAAAAGTATTGGTTTATTATTAAAGTGACATATACTCATTGATGTT